CGGCCCCGCGACGCGCGCTGGCGTGGGGGAGACGGGCGCGGGGTCCCAGGCCAGCATGGCCCGCTTGCCACGATCCTCGTCTCCCGAACGAACGAACGGACGGACGGACGAATGAATGGATGAATCTCCAAAGGTCAAAGACAAAGGTTAAGGAACGGAGGCGGGAGCACGGGGGAGGCGGCATGCTCGACGTGAGGGCCGGGCCGGGCCGGCCGGGCCGGGGCTGCACCCCAGCGCGCCTCCTAAGGAGGGGACATCTTTAAACTGGAGCCCTTTTCTTTCTTTTCATTTTTTGGTTGGGCCTTGAACTCGGGGCCTGGGCGCTGTCCCTCAGCTCTTCCACTTGAGCCACAACACCACTTCTGGTTTTCTGAGTGGTTTATTGGAGATAAGAGTCTCACCACTCTCCTGCCTGGGCTGGCTTTGAACTGTGATCCTCAGATCTCAGCCTCTGAGTAGCTAGGATTACAGGCGTGAGCCACCACACCAGCGCCCGGCTTCAAGCCCTTTTCATATGAAGGGTATTTTTTTTTCTGTTTGAAAAAATGATCTGTTATTACAAAGGTGATGTGGTATAACAGGGGTCACCGTTACGTAAGTCGGATATGAATGATACATTTCGAGCACGTGCGTTGATAGTTAACATACAGAAGGTTCTGGGCCAATCTCCAGCACCACACACCAAAAGAAAAGGCTTTCTTTTTGAAATGAAGTCACTTTCTCAAGCAGGACCTCAGCCACCAAAGTCAAACCAAAGTCACCTCGTTCCCTGAAGCCGGACCCGACCCCACCCACAGCGCTGCTGTTGTTTGTGTGTAGCCCAGGTAGGCCTGGAACTTGATCCTCTTGCTTCAGGGCTGGATTACAGGTGGTGCCACCAGACTCAGCTGTCAGTACCTAGGGTCTGGTCAAAGCAGGTAATAGGAACTAAATCCATTGCTTGGTGGGGGGCTGCCAGCTGGAGTTTGCAAACCTCTCTGACCTCAGTTTCCCTAGGTGTAAGGAACAGGTGGCTTCTGTCTCCTGGAGAAGTAAGGACAAGGAAAGAACACCTACTGTGGGGGCCTTACTAGCCAGCTTCCTTCAAAGGCTTGCAAGCACCTGCAAGGGGGAGGGGAGGCTGCCTTCCTCCCAGCCCCCTGCTTACATCTGATTAACTTATCCGGCTGTGGCCCTCCTGCCGGGAGGCCTGGGTGGCAGCTGGGCCTTCCCAAGGTACGGCCATGGAAGGCATCATCGGTCCTGTAGCCAGGGAAACTCATAGGAAATCTCACTCCTTAGCAAGGCTGGCCTCAAACTCAAAAGTGCCTCTGAGACTGCGGGTGGTGGCCCTGTGGAGGCTGTGGTGTCACGCCCTCCCACCACCCGGCCTCCAGGCCCCGAGCCCTAGCCCGAGGCCTCCTGCCCTGGGTGCACAGGCCCCAGGCATGGTCCTCCAGCGCCCTCTTCTGGCCGCTGCTTCCCCCTCGATGTCTGGGGTCTGGGAGAAACTGGCACAGGGGCTTCTGGCCTTCTGAGCTCATCTGACATGTCCAAAACCTCATGCATGCCTGCATTTTCTGTGGGTGCCTGTCCCTCGCTATGAGCAAAAAAAGGTGACAATCAGACAAAGTACCCGTCCCAGGCCTCCAGCGCCTTTCCCTAAAGCCAACACTTCCCTCAGTGTCTTGTACCGCCCTGCAGATGGCTTTTAGTATGCACAGATACAGCTGGGAAGGCTGGTGAGTGTGTCCCTCTAAAAACCACGCAGAGACCACCACACTCACCAACACAGCTAGAGTTAGAGTGATTTGAGAATCACTTCCATCATGTACACCAAGTTCCCTTAATAGTCTGGGCCATTTTGGTTTGTTTGTCAGCCTTGGGGCTTGAACTCAGGGCCTAGGCGCTGTTCCTGAGCTCTTTCGCCCAAGGCAAGAGCTCTACCACTTTGACCCATTGTGCCACTTCTGGTTTTCTGGTGCTTAATTGGAGATAAGCGTCTCACAGGCTGGGCTGGCTTTGAAGGGTCATCTCAGATCTCAGCGTCCCGAGTAGCTAGGATTATTGAGCCACCTTCCCCTGCTTAGCCTGCTTTGTTTTTGAGGAAGAGTCTGTGCATTCCAGCGGGCCTCAAACTCCCTCTGGAGGTGTGAGCCACCACACTTAGATCATTTTGCACCCAGCTGGTTCTGTTTTTGTTTTTAAGACCTTGCTATTAACAGGCCACATGCTGAGCGGCACCTGCAAGTCTCCAATATTTTGCAGGACCGAAGACTTTCTGTTTGAAGATTTGTTGTTGTTAGCATACATTAGGTGTACAGGACCGTTTCATTGTGACATTTCCATGCTGCAGCTGCATACAATGTAACCCAATCAAACAGCCCTTTGCCCACTCTCCCTGCCCTGAAAAGGTGGTCTCAGGGTTCACTGTTGTTTTCATAAAGCCTGTGACCTATTCCCCCTCAGACACCTTCCTCTGAAGACTCTTCTTTTTTTTTTTTGGGGGGGGGGGTCCGGTCGTGGGGCCTGAACTCTGGGCCTGGGCGCTGTCCTTCAGCTCTTTAGCTCAAGGCTAGTGCTCTACCACTTGAGCCACA